GAGTATATTAAACAACTTCCCAAAGTTTCATGGCAATCGGATAAATGGTGTGGTAATGCACGAAAGACAGACACACACACACACACACACACACATTCATTTTTATATATATATATATATATATATATAGATTGTATCAAATATTCAATTTTAAAAAATTTTACTTAAAATAGATAGATTTGCAAGATGCAGTTCTGAATTATATGAATTCAAATTAACAAGTAAACTTTTAAATAATTTAAGAAAACATTTTTGTTTACTAAGTAATGTGTGTATGGAATTACGCAGTATTAATTATTAAAAATAGAGTATCTCTAAATAATATCTCTTATAGAGTTGTCAGTTTATAAGAAATGACTCAGTTTTAAAGCTGCAAAGATTTTTGAACTTGAAAACATTGTAAGACAGATTTTTGATAATTAATGTCTAATTTTTTAGTGCACATCATTATACTCTATGTGGAATCTATACAAGAAGGGATTGAATAATACAATGAATAGTGCTATGGAGCATTGTTTATGCCTATAAAGCTAAAGGTTGGGGAAAAAGAAATCCATTATTTTTTCACTAGATAGCTGTAGTGATACATATCTCATAAAATATTGATGACACAAGTTCAGACTTGTGCTTATTGGAAAAGTGACATTCTGTACTAAAAAAAATTCTTTTACAGTTTTTCGATTGGTCAATTCAGTTGTGAGTTATAGGGTGTAAAAGATGGAAGTTAACAAAGAGAAAATTAGGTATGTTTTACAATTTTGCTTCGATAAAGGCGAAAATGCAAGCCAGGCAGCTGAAATTGTGAATGATGTTTATGGTCCTGATACTGTCACAGCCAATTATGTGCAATTTTGGTTTCGTCGGTTCCATTTTGGTAATTTTGATGTTAAAGATGCACCTTGCAGAGGTAGGCCTGTTGTCGAAAACGTCAATAAAATCATGGAAATGATAGAAGTAGACCGGCACGTTAGCACTCGTAGCATTGCCCAGGAGCTAAAGATTGACCACAAAACAGTTTTAAACCATCTGCATAAATCTGGATTCAAAAAGAAGCTTGATGTTTGGGTGCCACACGAATTGACGGAAAAAAACATGATGGATCGAATTTCCATCTGCGAAGCCTTGGCCAAACGGAATGAAATCGACCCGTTTCTTAAACGGATGGTGACTGGGGATGAGAAATGGGTTACATATGGCAATATTGTGCGAAAACGATCGTGGTCNAAGAAAAATAAAAAATATGCACCACAACTATACCCAGCAGAAAATAATTAAATATGTAATCCAACACCTTATTTTTCGCTGAGAGATTATTTTTAATTAAAACAAACGTTTTCGATCCATTCATTGGATCATCCTCAGGCTAAATGGAACATTTCATAAAATAATCTCTCAGCGAAAAATAAGGTGTTGGATTACATATTTAATTGTTTTCTGCTGGGTATAGTTGTGGTTTATATTTATAACAATGTCTGAAATGTTATCAATTTAATACACCTAAGTACTCAATAAAAACTAAATGTAGTTGAAAACAAAAAATTGCACCTAAAATAGTACAGTAGAAGCTGTTCTTCAAGGTTAAGCCTTAATCCTTTCCCTCTCCCCCCGCGGGGAAATTTCGAAAAAGCCCTTCTTAGTGTGCATTTTCATGATGTACCCTAACTGTGTACAAAATTCACCTCTTTAGGTTCAGCAGTTTGCTCTGGGTGATGATGAATCAATCACTCATTCAACTGTCAGGACAAGTAATTTTATATATTTAGATATAAATGAAAAACTATATAAATTACAATATAATCTACAAGATTATTTTATATCACATAAAGCAAATAAAATAAATTTATGTATTCTTATGTGAAACTAAAGTTGCAGTAATATAATTATAAATCATTTCTTTTATAATATACTTTTCTCTAACATACACAGGTTGTCTAAGAAGAAACCAAACTTTTGCTCTAGGAAGAAAAAACTACAAGAAATATTTTTATAAATAAATTTGTTTATTTGAAATAAAATTCCTCTGCAGCAATACAATGTTCAGAATGAGTAATGAGCATTTCAAAAGACTTTTTTAGCTCCTGTTTTGACACCTGGTTCAGTACTGTGGTTGCAGCAGCCCCAATCTCAAAAATGTCGTAGTAATGAATCCCTTTCATTAAAATTTTAAGTTTTGAGAACAGAAAATAGTCACAGGGAGCCAGATAAGGAGAATAGGGTGGACGGCCTAGGGTTACAATATCTTTTTGAGTTAAAAATTGACAACAACAGTGCTCATGTGAGGGTGCATTGTCGTGACGCAGTGTCCAGCTTCCTTGAGACCAATACGCTGGCTGTACGTGTAAAGTTTGGTTCCAAAGATGTTCCAAAATACCCAAATAATATTCTCTGGTAACATTCTGGTCATTTGGGACAAATTCTTTGTGCACAATAATACCCTTGGAATCATAAAAACAGACAAACATGGTCTTGTCCCACAATTTTTGGAAACAAAGTTTATTTGGTATGAGCTTGTCTATGACCTCCATACAGAACTTTGACATTTCGTCAATGGGGATGTATTGGTAGCATCACATCTCATCACCCATGACAATACTTTTAAGAAAATTTAGATTGTGGCAAGTCATTTTGATTATATCCACAGATAATATGTCTCATAAACAGCCAAATGATATACCAAATTTATGGGCTATGTAAAGGCTATAATTAAATATTAGAAATTAATTAATTTGACTAGAGTTAAGCAGTTACACTGTAATCTCGTATTAAATTTAATAATTATAAATAATTGATTTTTAATTTAGANATAATACTTAATGCTATTCTTGCATAATTACTTTAAATTTAAACTTGCCTGTAAACCAAGAAGATAAGTCAGTGTCTTTCCAGTCACAGGAACACCCATTATATGAATTTGGGCAACTCGAGGAATGTCCAAGAAATAATTCACAAATAGAGGAAAGATAAGTTCATATCTATAAATTTACATAGTAAGATATTTAATGTTTCATATAATATTTAATAATAGTTAAACAAATCATACAAAATCAAAAATCATTTAAATATTTTCCTAACTTACGGGCCAGTTGGTAGATAGGAAATATAAATATCTAATTGTCTTAAGGCATACACAGTTGTTAATTCTAACACAGTTGCAACTGTACACACAGCAAGTAAATAAGACTGTAATAAAAAACATAATATATATTAACCTATTCATAATTTTATATTGTAATTATTATAACCAAAACTCAATATTTTTTAACTTACACAAAATTTATGAGATCCGTAACGACGTTCAAATATTCTAAAATAATAAATCAGTAAGGTTCCGCAAACCAAATCTTTTGTGTCAAGGAAAGTAAGTTTAGAAGTTATAATTCTCCATATCTGAAAAATTACAAATTAAAAATCTTTTGATAAAACAGAAATATCAATAAAAACTCTATCTAATTTCTAAATGTTTTCTTCCTTTAAATCTCAATGTAAAATCTCAATACTGAATGTAATAAAATAAAAGTTTGACTATGAATAGACCTTTAAATTGTTTTTCAAAAGAATTTTGGATGCATTGGTTCAATGTTTTCTAACTAGCCTATTACATTTTACAAAAATTCAAATATTAATGTTTATTTTAGATTTTATAATAGATCTATAACTATGTTATAATAATCTTTATAGATTCTAGTAATTCTTATGATAAGAATTTCAATATGGTTAATTATCAAGTTATTGAGTTTCTTGAATTACATGACAGAGGAAAAAAAATTAGAAAGTTTATATCAGTTAATTTATCTTAAATGTCTGACAGTTTACATTATAAATGTAAATATAAATTCCATAATAAATAATTGTGATGATATAAATTAGTTTCCTTGAAAAAATTTATTATAAAAAATAATTTCGATTGTAAGTTTGATAAAGTTTGTTGGAATTGTTATGTGAAACAAGACAATATCATTTTTTCATAATACACAATTCCATATTTTAAATGCTGATAACTGAAGAAAAATATATAGTATTAGTATGTAGAATTAATTTAAAATTCCCTGTAATTTTATCTGGTTTGCAAGTTTCATTCTTTCTGATATAGACAGATGTTCTTGTTATTATGGCAATGATGACATGATATTTATTGGTGTCATATGTTGGTGTTTAAAATTAATGGCTCAGCATGCTTAATGCATTTAAATAGTAAATATTTAAGGAAGTTTTAATTTTCCTTAAGTTGAAAAATTTTTTGTGAGACCAACATTTATTCAGAATTAAAAGCAGTGTACATCATTAAGTAAAAAATTCATATGAACTTCGTCTATAATGATTAGTTACATTTGTTATTAACAAGAAAAATGTTATAATACTTGACATTTTTAGCATTATCATCATAATTATCTCTAATAATAAATGTAATGAAGCATTTAATAACATTTTATAAATGCAATCAATTATAATTTTCTCTAATTCTTTGACTATGTTAAATGATTTACACCTCACACATTCAATACAGTACTGTATATGCTATTGCATAGAGTAACAATAATTATTGCATTCATATACAAATTATTATGATTATGATGATGATTGTATTAATTTGAAAACATCATGCAATAAGTCAAGCATGTAAAATATAGTGAGAAAAAGAATTAAAGGAATTATAATTATGATGATAATACACAATATGCTGTTAAATATTTAACTATAATTATTCATAATTATTTAATATTTAAAAACTTACCTCATATTGTTCAAATATATTAGGGATGCTATATATTACATATTGTTTAACGTGAGCTAATAATGGAACATTTAAAGCACATGATGTTAAGAACATACATCCAAATAAGCCTTTAGAAACAGGTGCTTTATCTGAAAAATAAATTTTAATGGTGTTAACCATCGTAAACATAATAATAAAACTAATAAAAAATACTGTTAGAAAATAATTTAAGATAAAAATATTTCTATTCTTTTGGCAAAATTATTTTGATTAAGTAAAATAAGACAGATTACTAGAAATATATGTGTTAATAAAAATATTTTTAACTTATTAAATGATCATTTAGAACAGTGACTTTTAACCAGGAGTGCGCACATACCCCTAGAGATGCAAGCTATCAGTTTTTGGGGCTTTGGAGACTTCTGTAATACATTTTCTTTATTTCTTTAAACTTTCATTGTTTTCATTAAGCACCAATTCTTTTTTAAAAATAAAATACGTATACAAAATATATCAAATTTCTAATCTAGACTTAAATGTTTTTGTATTAATTTGAATGGACTCGGACAACACTATTTTTTAATTGCTAAAGCTTTAGCTAGAGCTAGGCTAAAAGTATAAATGAAAAATACTACTCTTAATAATAAATAAATTTTTGATGGGATGTAAGTGGCATTTTAAAAATTCAAAGTGTGGAGGCAAATGAAAGAGCCACTGATTTATGAACTTATTCTTATTAGAAACAATTTGAATATACATTTTTGGATTTAAACAATTGAAGTTTTTTTATATTAAAATTTTTAATATTGTTTTATAACTTTCATATTAAAACAAAAATTAATTTTGTTCCTTTTAGTAAATAATATATTTTTTGTTTTATGGTAATTATTTAAACATATTCTTAGCAAAATAAATAAGCAAATAATTAATCATCATCTATCAACATAAATGTAGCATTTGAAAATAGCAAGCTATCAATGTCATACTTAAAATCTTTTGTATGTATCATAACAATAGGTCTAGTAAACGCTTTCTTTGCAATAACTCTATATTCAGAATTGAAAATGGAAACTGATATTTAAAATTTTTAATAATAAAAATAAAGAAAGATACAAATTCAAACAGCAAGACACTAAATTAAATCATGTTTTAAAGCAAAATGCTTTCAAAAACTTCACTCCATTACAATAACTATTTAAGTGCTTTTGTTGAATTATCAGCATTGATTTTATGAAAGTTTTGATTATTGATGCAATATAAATAATCAAAACTTTACTTCAAAACATTTATTAAATTTTTTATTTACATATAATCAGAAATGTCTTATGATAATGGATTGCCACCCCTAACAACAATAAAATCTCTCTTTTCAACAAACTTTCCTGTAAAAAATTGAAAAAAAGTGCCTTTTTTACATTTAAATAATATTCCCATTTAACAAAGTTTAATTTCTACATAACAAAGATTTTAAAGCCTGACAAATTTAAAAATAAACATCCTGTTTTTTCTTATTGATAAATAAATACCAACTCCACAACTCTTGCCAGTAGGATGACCACAATATAATACAATATCTGTTCTATACTAAGAAAGTAACATCTGTATCCAAGGAGAGTTTCAAATAACAATCCTTTTTATATGTTTGAAAATGTTAGAAATGGTTTTCATCAACAAAAAAGTTCCAGATGAAATTTTTAACAAATGATCAAATGATAATACCAGATTATCTATTAGGCTAGAACTGGCTAATTAACTTTAAACATGCTGTATAATTTGGATTTTAATAGAAGATGACAGCTTAACTGCCAACATTAAATAGTTTAAATTTAAAAATTTAAATTTAGACTATTCTTCTAAATGGAAGTGGAAGAAAATTTTTATGAACTTTCATTTTCCAATTACTAATAACTTATACAGTAGAACCTCGAAAACTCGACCTAATGTGGACCGAAGGGTGGCCGAGTTTGTGAAAATGCCGAGTTATCGGGAATGGGGTTAAAAAAAATAAGTACGAGTATTTCCTCAGAAAATACTGTACTGTACTTGTACAGTATTTACTTGTACAGAATATAACAGAGAATAAACTGCCCAAATACCCTTAAACAAAGGAAAAGTACGTCCNTGACTTGCTTAACGAGCGACATTTTGCATAACAAGTGACGAGAAGAGGGAAAGTCCCAGATTGTGCGCATGCTCCATCAGTCTATGTTTAGCACTTGTTCTGCAAGCATCTTAGCGTTGCTTGTGATTACACATTTTTCCAAACTTGTGTTCACACATATTACATATAAACATCAACAACTATAGCCCATTATATAATAAACACGCCAAACGATTTGCAAAATTGTTGGGCTATGTAAAGGCTATAATTAAATATTAGAAATTAATTAATTTGACTACAGGTAGGCAGTTATGCTGCCATCTCATATTAAATTTAATGACCAATTACAGATGAAATTTTAGAAACGTCTAAATTAAAAATCAATTATTTATAATTATTAAATTTAATACGAGATTACAGTGTAACTGCTTAACTCTAGTCAAATTAATTAATTTCTAATATTTAATTATAGCCTTTACATAGCCCATAAATTTGGTATATCATTTGGCTGTTTATGAGACATATTATCTGTGGATATAATCAAAATGACTTGCCACAATCTAAATTTTCTTAAAAGTATTGTCATGGGTGATGAGATGTGATGCTACCAATACATCCCCATTGACGAAATGTCAAAGTTCTGTATGGAGGTCATAGACAAGCTCATACCAAATAAACTTTGTTTCCAAAAATTGTGGGACAAGACCATGTTTGTCTGTTTTTATGATTCCAAGGGTATTATTGTGCACAAAGAATTTGTCCCAAATGACCAGAATGTTACCAGAGAATATTATTTGGGTATTTTGGAACATCTTTGGAACCAAACTTTACACGTACAGCCAGCGTATTGGTCTCAAGGAAGCTGGACACTGCGTCACGACAATGCACCCTCACATGAGCACTGTTGTTGTCAATTTTTAACTCAAAAAGATATTGTAACCCTAGGCCGTCCACCCTATTCTCCTTATCTGGCTCCCTGTGACTATTTTCTGTTCTCAAAACTTAAAATTTTAATGAAAGGGATTCATTACTACGACATTTTTGAGATTGGGGCTGCTGCAACCACAGTACTGAACCAGGTGTCAAAACAGGAGCTAAAAAAGTCTTTTGAAATGCTCATTACTCATTCTGAACATTGTATTGCTGCAGAGGAATTTTATTTCAAATAAACAAATTTATTTATAAAAATATTTCTTGTAGTTTTTTCTTCCTAGAGCAAAAGTTTGGTTTCTTCTTAGACAACCTGTGTATGTTAGAGAAAAGTATATTATAAAAGAAATGATTTATAATTATATTACTGCAACTTTAGTTTCACATAAGAATACATAAATTTATTTTATTTGCTTTATGTGATATAAAATAATCTTGTAGATTATATTGTAATTTATATAGTTTTTCATTTATATCTAAATATATAAAATTACTTGTCCTGACAGTTGAATGAGTGATTGATTCATCATCACCCAGAGCAAACTGCTGAACCTAAAGAGGTGAATTTTGTACACAGTTAGGGTACATCATGAAAATGCACACTAAGAAGGGCTTTTTCGAAATTTCCCCGCGGGGGGAGAGGGAAAGGATTAAGGCTTAACCTTGAAGAACAGCTTCTACTGTACTATTTTAGGTGCAATTTTTTGTTTTCAACTACATTTAGTTTTTATTGAGTACTTAGGTGTATTAAATTGATAACATTTCAGACATTGTTATAAATATAAACCACAACTATACCCAGCAGAAAACAATTAAATATGTAATCCAACACCTTATTTTTCGCTGAGAGATTATTTTTAATTAAAACAAACGTTTTCGATCCATTCATTGGATCATCCTCAGGCTAAATGGAACATTTCATAAAATAATCTCTCAGCGAAAAATAAGGTGTTGGATTACATATTTAATTGTTTTCTGCTGGGTATAGTTGTGGTTTATATTTATAACAATGTCTGAAATGTTATCAATTTAATACACCTAAGTACTCAATAAAAACTAAATGTAGTTGAAAACAAAAAATTGCACCTAAAATAGTACAGTAGAAGCTGTTCTTCAAGGTTAAGCCTTAATCCTTTCCCTCTCCCCCCGCGGGGAAATTTCGAAAAAGCCCTTCTTAGTGTGCATTTTCATGATGTACCCTAACTGTGTACAAAATTCACCTCTTTAGGTTCAGCAGTTTGCTCTGGGTGATGATGAATCAATCACTCATTCAACTGTCAGGACAAGTAATTTTATATATTTAGATATAAATGAAAAACTATATAAATTACAATATAATCTACAAGATTATTTTATATCACATAAAGCAAATAAAATAAATTTATGTATTCTTATGTGAAACTAAAGTTGCAGTAATATAATTATAAATCATTTCTTTTATAATATACTTTTCTCTAACATACACAGGTTGTCTAAGAAGAAACCAAACTTTTGCTCTAGGAAGAAAAAACTACAAGAAATATTTTTATAAATAAATTTGTTTATTTGAAATAAAATTCCTCTGCAGCAATACAATGTTCAGAATGAGTAATGAGCATTTCAAAAGACTTTTTTAGCTCCTGTTTTGACACCTGGTTCAGTACTGTGGTTGCAGCAGCCCCAATCTCAAAAATGTCGTAGTAATGAATCCCTTTCATTAAAATTTTAAGTTTTGAGAACAGAAAATAGTCACAGGGAGCCAGATAAGGAGAATAGGGTGGACGGCCTAGGGTTACAATATCTTTTTGAGTTAAAAATTGACAACAACAGTGCTCATGTGAGGGTGCATTGTCGTGACGCAGTGTCCAGCTTCCTTGAGACCAATACGCTGGCTGTACGTGTAAAGTTTGGTTCCAAAGATGTTCCAAAATACCCAAATAATATTCTCTGGTAACATTCTGGTCATTTGGGACAAATTCTTTGTGCACAATAATACCCTTGGAATCATAAAAACAGACAAACATGGTCTTGTCCCACAATTTTTGGAAACAAAGTTTATTTGGTATGAGCTTGTCTATGACCTCCATACAGAACTTTGACATTTCGTCAATGGGGATGTATTGGTAGCATCACATCTCA